TAAATGCATACTAATGTACATATATTCAGCCTAAAAATACGCTTGTTGACATTAGTAATAAATGTACATACATATGTATGTACTTACTTGCATTCGGGGTATCTTTATTTATACAAAACGAAATTTTACTGAGCACTCCAGTGTGGAAAATGATATTTTTTATGGCAAAATTTTAGGAATTCACACATTTCATGATAAGAGATATTGAAATACAAAAAAATAGTATTTTGTGTTTAAAAAAAATACCTTGCTCCCAACGGTCTGGATTCGATACACTACGTCATTCAGCCGTTTAACAACTATATCCGGACCTTCCAAGTTCCACTGCAGTTTTTTGGGACAAACCTTTGTTCCCTTGTGGATTTTACAGCAACACTAAATCCCACTCTTAGAAACCCTCGGAGTTCATCGCCTTATCATGTCTGACCTTTATCTTGTTACTCATAATTTGAGTACGCTGGCTCACAAGACCATGTATCTCTCTCAGCTCCTCTTCCAGTACGTTGGACGTCTCTTTTCCAATTTTCCTTGCATCAAACTTCCGATCACTAGGCACACGGAGTTCATTGCCGAAGATTACCTTTGCAAGAGTTTTACCCGTTATTTCATGCACTGCTAACCGATATCCCATCAAGAATCAGGGTGCGTGGAAATCCAAATTCTTCTGGTTCTCGACCATGACTTTCAGGAAATGCTCTTTCAGGATGCAGTTTCACCGTTCCACCATGCCATCTGATTGGGGATGAAGAGGCGTTGCTCAAGTTTTCCGGACACCCGGTATCTGGCACATCTCTTGGAATGCCGCCGATTCAAAATGTCTTCCCTGGTCAGAGTGCACCTCTATAGGTACACCGCATGTCGCAACCCAATTGTAGGTGATTACCTCCGCTGCTGTTTTAGCTTCCTGATTTAGAATTGGATATACCTCCGGGCATTTGCTAAAGTAGTCCATAACGACAAGGCTACATCCATGGTAATCCACTCGAATGGTACACCTTATTTATATTGCTTCATCTGGCCATGACTTCTGGATTTTGACGCTTTAGCTGCAATACACACCGCGCAGTTAGCAATCCACTCTGTGACCGATTGCCGACAATCAACCCAATAGAACCTCTGCTTAATCATATCCAGGGTCTTTGTGATTCTCAGGTGCCCTTCACTGGTACCATTGTGGAATTCCTTGAGAACGTCCGGAACTCTTACCCTCGGGAGTACTATAAAACTGCGGGAACACTTCACTTTCGCATACCATATGCAAACAGCCAGATATCAATTTTAAGCTGGAACAGTTAGCCCCGTGTGCCTTTTCGTTTGGGATCTCCGCTGCCATTTGCTCCTTAGTTGGCCGTCTGACCGGCTCAAGTCCATGCACCGAAAGCTCCAGATCTGGATCTTCCTGCTGATACTTTCTTAGCTGTTACAGGCTATATTGTCGACGAGACATGGCACCAGCATTTCCGTGGACACTTCCCTTGCGCTGCTCAATAGCGAAGTCATAACTTTGCAGTCTCTCAATCCACCGAGCTAGCTGTCCTTCTGGATTCTTAAACTGTAATAACCACCTCAGCGCTTCGTAATCCGTTCGAATTCGGAAACGTTGCCCATAGAGGTATTTGCGGAAATGTTTGAAACACTCCACCAACGCAAGTAGGTTTCTCCGAGTTATGCAGTAGTTCCTCTCTGGTTTTCCAATCGATCGGCTATAGTAGGCGACTACCTCCTTCTGCCCAGTAATTACTTGCATCCGTGGCGTTGGGCCTGTAACCGGGTTCGTTAGCATCGGTGCAGTATATAGTCGTTCCTTCAGAGCTTGGAAAGCCTACTCCTGCTCCTCATTCTAGTCGAAGGCTCTATTTTTCCTAGTGAGCTGATGGGGGCTATTAGCAATGCTGGCGAGATTCGGAACAGTGATAGTAAGTACATAGTTCAAGAAAAATCTGTAGCTCGTACAAGTCCCTAGGTCTTTGCCAATCTTTTACTGCTTTTATCTTAGGTCGTTCACCTCCTTCTTTAATCGTGAGCTCTTTTAAGGACTTCTTTTGAGATCGTCGCCAGCTATCCT